TATATGTAGTTATAGTAAATTTACTGCATATTTTTTATTATAATTATAATTGCTGATGAGTTTACAAATAAATATATAAATTAAAATATTAAAAAAAATAAATTTGTTGTTTTGTTTGTTGCATCGACCGAAAAAGCAGAGAAAATAAAAAAGTTGAGGGTTTAGGTTGGGGTGTATAGGCAGCTCGAGGCAAACGAAGAGGGGGTGGTGCGGTGAGATGGTGGTTGTTTATTTTAATATAATTTTTGTGTTTTTTATTTATTTTTTGTTTGTTATTTATTTGTTTTAGTTTATTTTGTGTTAATGAATCAGTATTTATATTTGTTTTTCTTTTTTTGTGTTGTTTACTGCATCACCACCCCCTAAACCCTAGACGGTTGCGTGCGGCTATATTCGTGTTCAGGTTTAGTAGTATTTATCCATAAACCCTAAATTAGGGTTTATAATTTATTTATTTTTATTAATTATTGATTTTAAATCTATTCTTGGTGCTGTTTTATGCAGCAACTCGATCGCATACCGATCGCGCATCGTCTGTGTTTTCAGGTGTACGTACACCCGGTCAAAGTTCAACACCACCCAGCCGCTGCTCCCTCTGCCGTCTCTCCCCTTATAAACCCCAAGACCGAACCCCCTAATCATATCCTGAGCATAAAAATAAATAAATTAATTTATTTATTTATGTTTTATTCTATTTATTTATCTATTTGTTGAGTGACTGACGAAAAAACGAATGAATACGCACGTCAGTACACAAGTAAATGAAGGAACAAATACATAAATACATAAATACATAAATACATAAATAAATAAATATGTAAATGCATGAATAAATAAAAAAGTACAACAAGCAAATAAACGACCAAGTAACCACATACGTAAATAAACAAATGAGTGAAGGTAAATACAAAGAAGGAGGGACAAGGAGACAAATAAAAAAAGACAAAAGGAGACAAAATACAAAAAAAAACAAAAAGAAAGAAACAGAGACAAACCTGAATAAGAGTCTCAGCAACCGAGTCGATATGTGTGGGGCCCAAACAAGTAGCAACGATCATCGCCTCCCATTCAGCCCGCAACAGATCCTCACTCTTCTTCTGCATACCCTTCCCTGGGATCGACTTCTCCGGGATCGACTTCTCCGGGATCGAGTTCTCCGGGATCGAGTTCTGTGGGGTCACCTCTGGGATCGAGTTATGTGGGGCTGGGATCGAGTTCTGTGGGGTCACCTCTGCGATCGAGTTTTGTGGGGTCACCTCTGGGATCGAGTTATGTGGGGCTGGGATCGAGTTCTTTGGGTTCTTCTTTTGTGGGATCGAGTTCTCTGGGATCGAGTTTTGTGGGGTCACCTCTGGGATCGAGTGTTGTGGGGTCACCTCTGGGATCGAGTTTTGTGGGGTCGAGTTTTGTGGGGTCGAGTGTTGTGGGGTCGTGGCTGGGATCGTGTGTGGGGTGGATCCCGCAGTATGATTATAATACAAGTAGTCGGGTGTGAAGCATCGGCTCTGAGAGACGGGTTTGTTTAGGGGGGAGAGAAGGGGCCCCCTCTTGCGCTGCAGCAGCAGCCGCTCTTGCTCGTATTCTTCTGCTGCTCTCTGCCAGGCAGCACAACGCACAAAACAAACAACATCTCTCACTTTGTGTTTATCTGCTGCTGCTACTGCTGCTGACACCAAAGATGAATCGAAAGAAGGAAGGTCTGATAGAGACCAAATAGGATAAGCTCTGGCTTCTCCTGCTTCTCCTCCTGCTGCTGCTGCTGCTGTTGCTGCTCTTGTTGCTGTGTTTGCTGCTGCTCTTGTTGCTGCTGCTGTTGCTGCTGCTGCTGCTGCTGCTGCTGCTGCAGCAGAGTGCGTTATGAAAGCTGACTGCTGCACCCCGTGTATCCTCCCAGCCCTCTGAGGTGTATGTACACCCGAGAGGAGGCCTTGAACCCCCTTTCCAGCTGCAACAGCAGCAGCGGTATCTGGCCGGAGCAGCAGCAGCAGCAGCAGCAGCACGGAAAATAAAAAGCAGAAAAAGTGCATCTTGCAGCACAGCAGACACGGGGGATCCGATCCCAGGGCCCCCTAGGAGGAGGGGTCGAGGATCCTCGAGGTGTATAGCGAGGCCGATGCGCATGCAACTCGGCAGCCTCAGCTGCCTATACACCGCAGCTCTGTGCGCTTGCGGTGTACACGCAGCTGCAGCTGCAGCAGCAGCACCGGCGAGGGGGCCGGTTGGTGTGGGGGTCTGGTCGTTCTTTTGTTAGTTTTCTTTCTATTCATCAGTGGGAGAAATAAAAAACAAAAAAAAAATAAAAATATTAACAAGAGCTGCAGAGAGAGAAGGTTGTTTAGGTGGCTGCAGCACCACCAAGGATACCGATACACCGCGAGCAGCAACAGGACGGCTCAGGCGGAGAATAAAAAACAAATAAAATATATTTCAATAATTTATAATTAAAATAATTAATAAATTAAAACAATAAATTTATTTTGTTTTTATATTTACAGCAGAGAAACAGCGCAATCAACACACAAACTCCCTGCTGCAGCACACAGAGCACAAGGCCCGGGTAGGGGGGCCCCCGGGGGGCCCCCAGGGGGCCCCCGGGGGGCCCCCCGGGGGCCCCCTATGTT